ATAAGTATCCCGGTGGGAAATCAGCTAGCGAATAGCTAGCTATAATCGTTACGATAAAGACAGCAATTTGGCCACGAGGATCGCTAGCTTTTTTAAGTTAGCGAAAAGCTATCGATATTTGTGAAGATAAAGACAGCGTTTGGCTACGACGACAACTAGCTTAATAAGCTAAAGACTCACAGGCTATTGTACCTACTGTCATATCGTAATAAAATCGCTATCAAAAAAATTTTGGTATTTAGCTATCAACCAGCTATAGATTTGTAGATATTTTGTAGCTAGCGACACATTGCTACAAAATCGCAATGTTTAAAGTTCAATTATTCTCATAATTATAATAGACTTAACACTAAAAATTGAATTTTTAAAGATGTTAGAGACATTAGTAAAGAATAAAATAAAAAATAAAAAATTGCTATAAAGCTAGCTAGTCGCTCGCTAGCTCATTTCCCACCGGGATCTCAATCATGACACATACGCAACAAAATTTTTTTCCCGGTGTTTCGATGTTTTTAGAAAAAATTTAGCTTTTTTAAAAGTCTTTTCCTTTGTTAAAGTGTATAATATCGTTACATATATAATCTACGTTGCGTATATAATCTCTATAAAACTTCAAAAGTATTTTATGTTTTAAAATAATCAAAAAAAAAAAAAAAAAAAAAAAAAGATCGGCGCGCTATTTACTCGGCCACGCAAGCACGTTGTTAAACGAAAGTTTTTAAAACTATATAATGATTTTTTTTTAAAGGAAATAAATGCTATAGATCAAAATTAAGGAGAGGTTGACGCAGTGCAATTTTTAAGTGAAAGTCAAACTGTAAAACTTAATAAATGTTTAAGTATGTTTTAACATTACTTAATTTGAAGCAGGGATGTACCGGACTTCCGGCCGGAATTTGTGTCTTTTAGATTAATTCGCTTCTGGCTGGATTTAAACTTTTTTTTTTTTTTTTATAGCAAGTGACAGAGGCTGTGTAAATAAATCAAAACATCATTATCCTACAGAGCAATAAAAAACTAGGTAAAAAATACAAATGTAATTTTATTTGCAGAAATAATAGTAGGAGAGATGGGGGCGCATTGATCGCCGTTGCAGTATTTTGAAAACTGCAAACAACCCGATCTAGATATAAAAACTTATTAATTACTTAACTAAACTAGAACAATCAGTCTTTAAGTAAAAATAAATGTTTTAATAAAAAACATTAATGAACATGGTATATTTCAACATTACAACAACCCTTGCAAAAGATCAATGTACCCCATGCAATGGGGTACTATAATCTCCGATATGGGGCGCTTTGATCTTATATGAGTAACATTATTTACATGTTTAATACTGCTATACCTAAGTGCAACAAATGCATTAGTTGAAGGGTATTAGTGTATATTATATAATACATCTGAAAAAAAGTAAAATTTAAAACATATATATATATATATATATATATATATATATATATATATATATATATATATATATATATATATATATATATATATATATATATACATATCATTACAACCTTATACACACCAGTGTATAAAGTTTACATTAGAAGAATAACCACAATTCTATCTATGAAAATACGCCCGTTATTTACTACTAACATATATATGTGTTAAGTTTTACAAAACTTGAAGCTTATAAAGTTTATAAGAATACAGTATTTTAAGTTTACAAAGAAAATACAAGATTCATACAAGACTTTTATTAGAACTAAAGTTTACAAGATTATTTTTTTATATTATTATCCTTTGTCAAAGTCAAGTCGTGATGCTGCTTTTACATTACATTGTTTTTTGTTCCTATGAAGTAATTTTTAATTTTTCCCCTTTTTTTATCTTTTGCGAAGAGTTTCTTTTGTTGGTTGATTTGTTTTAGGGTTTTCTTTTCTTCTGACAAACGAATTTCATTTCTGATTGGAGTATCAGTCAAAATCCTTGTTTTTAATTGCCTACTTTTAACACTTCGTTTTCTAGCAGATGCTTTCGGGTAAGGTTTCAAAACATCAGGTGAGAGTAATGAAGCAATGCTTGGTGACACTTTGTTCGAAAAACTTGTTTCATGGTGTACTACAGGCATTTCAGGCTCCATGCCATCAACATGTGCTACAGTCATTTCAGGTTCCACAAGAATTGTGTTTACTACATTTGGAGCAGCACGATCTGTAACTGATGATGGTAAATACTCATCATCTTTAAAAATTTCTAGATTAAATGGCTCAATGCTAGCTACTTGAAATCCTCTCTGTATATTAGATGGTGAGAAAGCTTTTGTTATGGTTCGCGAACTATTGAAACAATATCATAAATGGTCATCGGTCTTGGATTTGTGACCATCCAATGATCACACGCACCATTGTAATACTTTTTCAATGGTCCAAAAACAGTTCAATCCAATGGTTGCAATTTATAGGTACAATGGGGAGGAAAAATTAGCATTGTAATTCCATGTTGAATTGCAAGATCCAAAGCTCTAACAGAAATATGACTTTTATGGCTGTCCAGAAGTAACAAAACTGGAGATTCATGAGAACAGTTTTACTACCTCAAAAAATGTTTTATCCATTCTATAAAAATGTTTGAATTCATCCAACCAGAAGGATTTGCAAATCCCACGCATCCAGGAGGACCTTCCTTTATCATGTAATCATGAAGTTTGACCCTAGAAAAAACAAATAGTGGATGAATAGAGTTTCCAATTGCATTTGAAGCACAACATACAGTTACTAATGTTCCTCGTTCTGCAGATGTGATTCTTCCTACTTGTTTACTTCCTTTACCTGCTAACACTTTTACTGGCTTTTGTACTTTTGTTAAACCAGTTTCATCAACATTACATATGCAATAAGGATCAAACTTATATCAATTTCTTCCTGTTTTTAGATTTTGGAAAAATTCTCCAACAGTGTGTCGGTTAAAGGCAGTTGATCGAGCAAAGCTAGTTACTTCAGGTGTTCGTAAAGACAACTCTGGTTGTCTTTTCATAAAACCTTGCAACCAATCAATCCATGCAATTTTATTCTTGATCCATGATGAAGGGCAAATCTTATTATTTTTTACAGCAAACTTGTATGCCAATAATCGTATTGACTTAGTTGAAAGTCCATAGTTCATTTTTGATGCAAGTAGTAAATAACTTGACAAACTTTTTTCATCTTCTGCAGTAAAAACTTGTTTATTATTGTAATTAGGCTTAAAAGATTCATCTGGGTTCAGCTTCTTTTTATTACAATATCTTTTTAAGGTCATTCGATTTATGCTAAACTTGCGAGCTACAGCATTCACTGCCCTCTAAAACTTCATTAACAGCTGATTTCATTGTATCACATGATATAGCAACTCTGTCTGTTTTTTCTTCTTCTATAACTAACCATTTAAAGATCTGAAAATTTAAAAAAAAGTAAAATAAAATGATTGTTTAAAAAAAATATTTTATATAATAATATTATGTAAACTAATTGTAAAACTTATGTAAAACTAAAAACTAATGTTATTAATTTTAGTTTTTAACACTATTACATTTTAAAAATGAAATTTTTAAAGTTTATATAAAGATTTTTTATTCGTCATAAGTTTAAATGTATAAAATTTAAACAAAAAACTTAAGTCTTATAATATGTTATATGGGGCACTTTGATCCTCCGATCAATTAGCCCCGCATAGTCAACGATCAATGTGCCCTATTAGGTACAGTTGATATATTGATGCCAATAACTTCTAAAAATACAGCAACCAACTCAAAAAAACAAATTTACTATAAACTTAACACCAAGGCCGGCGCGATAGGGGTGTGTGGGGGTGTAACACCCCCCCCCCCCATCAATGACTTTTAGTCGGCAAATTTGACCCTTAGTCGGCAAATGTGACCCTTTTTGACTAGTTAGTCGGCAAATGTAGACCTTGTTGATAGGTTGGTCGGTAAAGTCAGTCGAAAAATATCGTTATGGCAGTCGGGCAGTCGGTAAATTTTAAAAAACGAGAACCTTTTATTTTTATTTTTCCTTTTTTTTAGACGGCAAAAGTTGTAATGGCACCCCCCCCCCCGTGACCACTACTCGTGCCGGCCCTGCTTAACACATATGAGTTTACAATAAATTGGTTGTGAAGTCATACGGAAATCTAATTAAAAATTTATTTGAATTTGTTTACATTTTTCAAAAATCACTTTTCATGATAAAAACAGTCTTTTCAATTTTCTTAACGCTGAAGTTGATCTTATCAAAAATTATTACGATTAAGCAATGAAGGGTAGTTTAATGGTTAATTAAATTGCAATCTCTGTTAAATTAAGGCAAAAGTAAACGAGTAAAAGCTAAAAGATCAAACTGCCCCGGCGATTAATGCGCCCCCATATACCCTACTATAAATACATTTGCAGAAATTACATTTATAAAATAGGTATCATCGTAGTAAACTGGCAACTAAATAATATATGAAGAAATAATAAATAGTATATGAAGATTTTTGATTCAAAAATAATGTTCATTATATAATTTTTATTTAAAGTAAACAATTTTAATAAAATACTTTTTCATATATAATTTATTCTGAATTGCATAATTTACTTAACAAACTTAAGTACCGCAGTTCGGTTGGTTTATATTATTGAAAATAATAAAGCCCACATTTAAAACTATTTGACGAATTTAAAACTATTTGACGCATTAAAATTTTAAAACTAATAAACGCATTTAAAACTATTTGACAACAACTATTATTTCAACAATTAAATTAAAATAACAAAAAAAAAAAAAAGAAATGAAAATAGATTTATAACCCGTTTGTTATCTTTTTCTTAAAATTTCATCCTGCACAAAATCATAGAAACTCGTAACTTCAAATAAGTTTATATAAACATTATTAATAACTTAAACATATCTTTATTTTTTCTTACAAAATGACGATGAAATAAAAATATTTTTTTGATTGCCGAAAACATAGTAAATGTTTTCTTATTTTTTGTAAAAACAATACTAACACATTCCTTAATGTATCCGAATGATATTTGTCGGATGCAAATTAATTCTATCAGTGTCAATTTACTCAAATTTGTGCTGGTTGTAACATTTTAATATTTTTAATTTTGTTCAGGTTGAAAATGCGTTTCTTTGTTTTTTTGGTTCTTTTTTCATGTTACATCAAGGAAAGGTATTTTGTATATTTTATTGTATATTTTGAACAACCAAGACCAACTGAGCAACAGTTTTTACTAAGACGCCACTGAGTCACGGTTTTTCTTTATATTGCCTGAATTTTTAACAGTTTTTCTTTTTATTTCAAATTAAAAAGTTTAAAAAATAAACAACTAAAAATTATAGGCATGTAAATTAAGAAAAATTAATTAATTTTTTGTTTCAACCACAATTTTATGCAGAGTATACTCATTTGACATAAGCATGAACATAAACTTGGAGTTTGCTAAATTTTTAAAAATTTCAAACATCAAAAAATCAATGACCATCAATGCTTTTTGCATGGAACATAGTAGCATTTATAGCATCCTTATATGCAATTTTTAATTTTTTTTTGTACTTCTGGCTTAGTATAATTTTGGTGGTTCCTCCAATATAATAATATTCATTCCTCCACCCTCTGACGGCTCTACTCACAGTTCAGTTAAAAATAATAAGTTAGTATACAAAAAAATGATAAATAAAAATAGCTTTAAAAAATGTTAATTTGGTATGCGCATAAACAATAAGTGAACACATCACTACCCATTGGACACGGACGTAAAAAAGACGTCTTTTAAACGTGTTATACACGTTTTGGACGTCTTTTGAACGTCTTTTGAACGTTTAAAAGACGTCTTATTTTGGTCCGGTGCCCACTGGGTAGTAGATATATGACGTGAAGCGTTATTTGTTGTTACAGAGTCTCTCAGCAAATAAAGCTCACTCAAAATAAGTCAATTATTTTAAGGTAATACTGCAGCAACGGATATTTTTTTTTTAGTTAAATAGAAGTTATTTTATCTGCAATAGGGGAAGATTTCTTTAGTTTTTAAAATGAGCAAAAGTTAAAACATGTATTTTCTTTTTTTCAAGGCGAAAGGATTGAGATATATGTCCTTCAAGATAATAAATCACTAAAACCCAAACATTTATTATCTAAAGGCTCACAGAAAGGATTAAAGTCAGTTGTTATATGTTATTTACTGTTCCCCAGTACTAGGGCACAGTGAATAAATAAACACAGCTGTGATTTAATGATAGTGAATAGAGGCATAGCAAAATAACTTTGAGGCTGAGGGAGTAAAGACTCTGTACACTATATTTTTGGTTAATTAAATTCGTATAAAATTGAAAAAAATAGACATTTTGAAAATTAAGAAGAAAAAAAAAGAGTTTAATTGATAACAAAAATTATAAAAATATTTAAAAATTAAAAAATTATTTAAATATTATTATTCATAACTTAAAACTAGTAAGTTCATTTTCATGTAGTTTGTCTGTTGAACAATTTGCTTTGGGTGTTTAACGCCTGATGTTGAGGAAATATTAAATAATCGTTTTTTTGAATAAATTTTATTTTGAGTTTGAATAACTTTGAAGAACCACTATTAGAAGTCATACTTTAACTATGAAATAATATAAAGTAATGACAAAAATCTGCAAAGAAATGTCAACTTTATTGTTCTATTAGTTTTATTGTTTACATTAAAAAAATGGTTCATGACTACTTGTTAAGTATTTCCCAGTGGCATAAAGAAAGCTAGATGACACAAGACGTTTATAATACGTACTACTACGTATTTTACACGTTTTTAACGCTCCTTTACCCATTGGTAGCGAATAGCTAGCTATTCGCTGGCTAGTTGCTAGCTCATTTCCCACCGGGTTTCATAAAGACATTTTGCTTGATTTTAGACGCAAATAGTATAACAGTTCTATGAATAATAGCGACAGTGCATACTTTAATACTTTAAGGGATTCCAAACTCCCAACACATGTTGCGTTCATATTAAAGATAATGTTAGAAAAAAAAGGTTTAAACCAATTTTTTTAAATTACAAATAAATAATGAATGCATACTGGGAAAAACTAATATTGCTGTTTTAGCCGAAGGTCGCCTTCTCCATTTTATTCAAAAATTTGGAGTCTTTAAATCATACGTCACAATCTACAGACCGGGCGATTCCTTCAAAGCGCGTTTAATTCTTAAAAGTTTTTGTATTTGACATCACGTATTGGTTTACTTTTCACAATTGAAAAGTGTAATTAAACAAAGCTGCGTTTTTCTACCTTAATTCAAAAAGTACGATGTAGTGTTTTTTTACAGCAAGACAAATTTATTTAAGATAATACAGTATCGTCCACAATTATTTTCGTCGCATCCACAATTATTTTCGTCGCGTCCACAATTATTTTCGTCGCGTCCACAATTATTTTTGTTTGTCCATAATTATTTTTAAATCAAAACACTTTATTTTTTAAAATTTTTGAAATCAAGAAAAAAATCCAAATATAATTTAATCAAATAAATTCATTACGTTGAATTCCTTGTGAGAATAATAATTCTCAAAAGAATATTCGGTAAAACCTGATAAATTGTTATGCCGCGGTTGTATTCCTTTAAAAAATTTTTAACCACGCCAAAAAACTCCTCGATAGGATTAAGTTGAGGACTGTAAGGTGGTAAAAACTGGATAGTACAATTACTTTCTCGAAATGCCGATTCTACTATTGATAAATGGTGGAATCGCGCATTATCCATTACTACAACATATCTGCGATCACTTAAAACTGGTCTTAAATCTTGTTCTATCCAGTCGTGCATTCTAGTGGTATTAAAGGCTCCAATCTTTACTTTAAATTCAATATACCCTGTAACTGAAATAGCGCATATTAGCCTAACATTTCTTCCTCTCTGTGTGGGCACTGTAACAAACGGGGTGCTTCCTAATAATGCATATCCATAATGTCGTGAATCATGCAGATTGAACCCGGTTTCATCAATATAGACCAGATCTGAATTTCACAGAAAAGAAACATGATTGCAAAACATAAACCTCGTTGTTATTACTTGAGCTGAATTTCTTGCAACAACGATCGATTTAAGCCTTTTACGGGTATATCCCATTTGTTTTTGATTGTAGTTGTCGAGAATTTATGTTCTTCTGGCATTAACTCTGGAATGTCACTAGTAGTTAATGCATTATTTGCATTAATTAATAACTCGATTTCTCTCTTTCTTTCAATATTATTTCGTGCAGCTCTGCCACGTTTTTTTGGTATTATATTTTGGTCTGCTTCAAGCTTTCGTATCCAGTTTTGTATTGTCCTAATTGAAAGACCTGTTGCATTTGCAATAGATCGACTTGATTCGTTGCCAATCAACATTCTTTTTATTGTAGCAATATTTTCTTCAGTTGCTGTTTTGTTTTTTGTTTGTTCAGCCATTTCGATATTTGGATTATTGAGTTGTTGTTAGTCATTATGGCTTAAAGTGTTTTGATTTAAAAATAATTATGGACAAACGAAAATAATTGTGGACGCGACGAAAATAATTGTGGACGCGACGAAAAAAATTGTGGACGCGACGATAATAATTGTGGAAGCGACGAAAATAATTGTGGACGATACTGTATTAATACGCTAATTTAATAGAAGTTAATAGTCGACTTACGTAGTTAATAAACGTAGTTACGTAGTTAATAAACGTAGTAGTTAAGAGTCGACCAATGATATATTAAAAATAACTAGATGTCTAACTTCCGCGTATTTTTTGAAGCAAAAATCAGCCATTATGGGAGGCAAATTTAAAAAAATAGTAAGTCGCGGTTGTTTGGATCAAATAATATTTAATATTCAAAAATTATAAATCATGGTTAATTCTTGTGCTGCAGCAGGTTGCACAAATAGAGCAATGAAAAACAATAACAGAGCATTTTATAAATTTCCAATTAGTATTAGCGAACTCGGTTAAAAGTGGATTGTTGCTATAAAACGTGAAACATTTATTCCTACTGAGCATAGCTGCATTTGTAATGATCACTTTTTACCTTCAGATTACAATATACCTGATTTTAATAACAAACCGCAAATAAAACCTTTTTTTGTGCCATCTATTACTATTGATTCAAAACCAAAAGTCTAAAAAAAGTTTAATTCTATATCGCCACAAACAAATAAAAAGAGACTCATTTAAAAAGTTTCAGAAACAGGCAGTCACCATCACATCAATTTCCATTCAGATATAAGTGATAACAATAATGCTGCTGCTAATAGTAACACAATTTATATTAATAGTGTTATTTCAGATACAACAGAAAGTATTGATTGCCAGGTGGATATAAATAATAGCTTTAAAATTATCAAAAGCAGTAACTAAATTATTAATGATGGTACTATTATTTCTAAAAGTACATTATCGACAAATGCAAGTCCAACTATAGCAAAATTAAAAGCAAAAATTAAATTTGCAATAAAAGATATTGTTGCAATTGAACCTGATATACCAGCTACAGAAGCATTGGTATTTATGCTGGTAGGATTATAAGGTCATTAGAAAACACCTATTGGCTATATGCTGTGTAGTAAAATAACAACTGAAAACTTTTCATGTCTTATTAAAAAAGCATTAACAATTACTTCTGATTAAAAAATCAATGTAGTAGAATTACATTTGATGGTGTAAGTGTTAACTTTAATTCTGTTGCATCACTAGGATGTACTTTGGGAAAAGACTAGAAAAAATTAATGGACAATTTACTTTTGAAGGCTATAATTACTACTTGTATGTAATCCCTGAACCAAGTCATATGCTAAAATTAACTAGAAATGTGTTATGAGATTTAGAGCTACTAATGGATTGTAATCCTTAAGTAGCTCTGGATTTATTGTAAGAAGATTATTATAAGATAACATGTTCTGTGTGTGCAAACTCACTTATATTCCAAAACAATTTTGTGGAATATTCTTATGGAGCATCACTTCTTTCATTGATTAACATAAAAATAGGAATATGCTTATTGCTCCAAGAAATGATGTTATACAAACTATAATAGTATGCGAGAGCGTTTTCAAAATTTATGTCAGAAATGACAATTTCAAAAAACCAAAAATGAATGTAGAGCGAAATCTTAAACCGAAAATGATTTATGCAGTTAATAAAATTATTAGTAAAAAACATTTTTTTAAAGGCCT